ATCCAACCTGACAGAACTGGATTCACCTGTTGCCTCGTTAATTATCTCATCTGTTCCTTTGTTTGCTTTGTGTACTCGAGTCTTCCGTATCTGTTGGTTCTCCTTTACGTTAAGTGTGTGTTACTTCTGTGTTTATTCCAGTATTCCAAGACATTGTGTGTTTCTATACCACACAACCGTGACAATAGCCCAGTCCATTTATTAATTTATAGACTTCTTAATGTATCAATTTTACAAATTGCTTCTTTTATGGGGAAGTTGTGGCCTAATGGTTAGAGAGTCGGACTCGTAACCCAAAGGTTGCGGGTTCGAGTCTCGTACCGGAAGGGATTGTAGGTGGGGGGAGTGAATGCACAGCGCTCAATACCACGACTGAAGTGCCGTTGAGCAAGGCACCGAACCCCCAACTGCTCCCCGGGCACCGCAGCATAAATGGCTGCCCACTGCTCCGGGTGTGTGTTCACGGTTTGTGTGTGTTCACTGCTGTGTGTGTGCACTTAGGATGGGTAAATGCAGAGCACTAATTCCGAGTATGGGTCACCATACTTGGCCACCTGTCACGTCCTGTTTTTTGTTTTCCCTGCAGATTCTGGGGATTCATCTGAACGGGTGGAAGCTGGACTTCAAGCTGGGCGTCTATGTGCTGGTGCTGTACGCCGTCTTCCTCTGCTTCTCCATCATGATCGAATACAACGTCTTCACCTTCGTCAACCTGCCCATGTGTCAGGACGACTAGACTCCGTATCCCAGAATGCACCGTCCTGATGTCACGAGCTCCGTTCTTGCACTCCAGAACCATCATCACCTCAGACTGGATGAATGCTAGTCTTCATTAGCACCAGCGCTTTATTCGAGCTCCTTTCGTTCGACTCATCTCACAGTGGATGGACAAACGGATACGATCTTCCACTTCAGCTCATTTTCCTGATTTTGACCCCTTCTTGGCAGATCTTCTCGTCCAGTTGAGATCTTTAATATCTCAGAATAGTCATTTTGCTTCTCAAATAAATGATTTGAGATTGATTTAAGAATGTATTTGCACTAGAAAACGAGCTAAAAACACAAAGGAAGATCATTATTTGCAGTTTCAGCACAGCCACCATCAGCACGCCTGCGACTGCAGTGCATTGTGGGACATTCCACTGAGGTGATCTCCGGACAGTGGTCTCCATGGCAACCACGGCCCTTGCCCAACCCGGCAGCTACAGAACCAAACCTCCGCGGAGACGTTTATCCATCATGTGGATCCAAACGTGACTCAAAGATTGTGGAAACCCGCAGCTGTTTTTGTGTCGGGAGAACGGGGTTTATGCAATATAAGCACTGCACAGAGTCATTTTTTTATGAATGTTGGAAGTGAAGTAGCAATAGGATGTGGACTTGTAGTGGACACTATGCAGGGAGGATGTGGCTGTGCTCTCCAGGGCATTAACTTCCTCCTCACAGGGCGCTTCCAGACTCAAACACAGACTAATGAGCCGCCTTGAACCTCTGAGTGGAAGACGAGCTTCAGTGAGAAGTGATGGAGACGGTGAAGGTGTTTATTTTTTGGTTTAAGCACGTCTTGCGGATCCTCCAAACTCAAATTCATCCAGAGACAGTTACCATAGTTCCTCTTGACTTTTCGCACAGACATATATATGCATTTCTGACTGATACAGGAACATTTAAAGAACAAAACCAAGCATAGATGAATATTCTCTAGTGCCATTTTGTAATATAAAATGGGGTTAAATCTCACAAAAACATGTCCATGGTATATTTCACCCCAAATCAAAAGCTGACGTTGTATTTTGCACATGAAGTCTGTTTTTGTGCCATTAAAAATTGTTTATTGTGACACTGATTTAAAGAGAATTAAGCACATTTCCCCCTCAAACTCTCATTGTTTCAATGTTTTTTTCCCCATGTTGATTTATTTTATAATTATAATGTATTGAAGCCTGTTTCCACCCAAGAATATTTGTGATTTTTTTGTTTCCACCCAAGAATAACTGACTTTTATCTCACAATTCTGACCTTTACCCCAGAATTCTTAATTTAAATCTCAAAATTCTGACCTTTTTAGTTTACATCTTGCAATTCTGTTTTTTTTTGCCAAAGGGTAAAAACATTTAAAAAGAAAAAAAAAATTTATTGAGACTTTTTATCTCTCAATTCTGAGTTCAAATCTCACGATTCTGACTTTTTGCCCTCTGAATTCTGAGATTTTATTCCGTTTTTTTAAAATAAAAAAGTAAAAAATATAAAAGGTAATTGCGACTTTTTATCTCACAATTCTCACTTTTTTTCTCAAAATAGCAAGTTTATATCTCACAATTTATATGTTTATATGTCGCAATTCTTTCTTTCTGAAGAACTGCATGAAAAAAGTCTGAATTGTCAAATATATTGTCAAAAAATTTATTAAATAAATAACAATATATATGTTTGTTGCTTTACATATGAATTCATGGGAAATGTGTATAATTGTCATGAAAATAATGTTGTCATTCAAAAACTCTTGGTTCTTAATAATAGACTTCATTTCTTTATGCAAAAATATAATATCTTTATTTACTTTATTTCATTTTGGGGTGAATTTTAACCTGGACATTTTCTAGACAGGTTTTGAAAGATGTACCCTGTAATGTACATGTTGATAAAGCAGACTTTTACAGCTGTTGGAAGTAATTTGTTCCTTAGATAATTTGTACATGCAGTACTTTTGAGATGCTTTGATCGTGACTGATTTACCATCAGTTGAACTGGTGGGCTTTTCATTTGAGACTTGATTTGACATTTTGTTGTATATTGACACACACACACACACACACACACACACACACACACACACACACACACACACACACACACACACACACACACACACACACACACACACACACACACACACACACACTCCCTCTCA